GGGTTCTAAGAGGGTAAAGAGAACAAAAGTACGTTCACAGCACGCACCTAATTTTCACCTACTTTACTACTTACTGGTCTCGTCGTTTTAAAAGATAAAGCGAACAATGACGTGCAAAGTTGTAGCTGTCACATTTCGACCTAGTTTCCTAGGCGTATTGTTTCCCAAAAACAGATCTTTCGTCATTTGTGAGCAAGGTCATGGCTAGTGGGAAGCAGCTGTCAATATTTCGCTTCCCGAGACCAAAAAACCCCCGAAAAGCAATACAAAAAAAAAAGCTTGCACATTAAACGTTGCTCCTCTACTTTTAGTTGTAAGTAGAAATCCATTCGAGGATACTTAGAGATTTAAAAAAAAAAAAAATAAAAAAAGGACGTCGATTACAAGAATTTGCCAAGTTTAAGTAGAAATAAAATTATTTACCCGAGCCAGCTTTTTTAAAGTAGAAAGAGGTTTTTTTTAAAGGTAAAGCTATTAGAAGCATCAATTTCTTATTCACTAGACGGGAAACGGAGACTGAATTTAGAGGATGGTTCAGATTAAGACGACGAACGAACGCCTTACTGTCGGAACGGTCCTAAACCTGCCGCCTCCATAAGTCATTCCTAGATGGGTGGACAAGTGTGCAGTGCCATGAGAGTGGACATGCAGTGGACAGACGGCAGGCAGCTTGGTCGTAATGTCATCATAACAGGGCTCTCCCTGGCCCATAAGAGTAAATCCGCACGGAGAAGGGAAGTAAAGCCGTAGACAGACAGGGGAAGTAACTAAATGCAGTTGCAGGTTACTTATGGCCTGTGCCCCGGCGGACGGGTCACACCACAGCGGTCACTTGGAGGGTCAGTTTTATTGCCTGGCCTCGGAGATTGACCTCGTCCCCCGGTCGCCTTCGGACTGTCTCGGCCTCTGATAAGATAGCATTGTTGTTTTTTCCTTCCTGAAGCGGGGGAGGTTGAGCGGGTGGGGCGGGAGGGATCTTATTGGTATTCAATTTCGACCATTTTGATGTATGATATTTATATATCTCTCTATCTCACCCCTTTCTCTCACACGAATGAACACTCCCCCCCCCCCCT